GAAGCAAATCGCGAATTGGTGATTAGAACGAAAAATTGAGACATAGAGCATAAATGTTCAAAGTCACGGATTAAGACAAATATTGACAATTTTAAAGATCTAGGATATAGAAACTTCTGTAACATCTCAAACATAGACACATTTTCATAACAACAATTTTTGATATCTTAGGCTTGGGAAACTTTCAAGATCAAACAAGTAAAAAAGCCAGAATATATAGCCTGGATTTTTTTTTTGCGTTAGGAAATTTGCGCCTACTATGACCATGACAATTTCGAGATCATGTGCCAAGGAGCAACACGTACCAGCATCCAGACAGGTGAGTCATACTCTGAACCTTGACAGCCCAACCAAAGATCTTATCAGGCTCCGTAGCACCATTCGTAGGCAGCTCAAGCATTCTGGGCTGCCCCACTTGAAGACCAATGTCAATAGGCCAACCAAAATTATCCAGGACAGGATGGTGGAACTCAGAAATAACGATTTTTCCAACAAGATTCGCTCTCTTCCAGATTGGGCTAAGATGACCAAAATTTTGAAAAATAAGTCGAGGCCGATCCCTCCGCTTGCCTCTGTTGACCAGAACTCGGACACATCTCTACTCATAACCCCAGTTGAAAGGGCGAATGCTCTTGGCCAACATTTTGTGATTTCACATAATCTTAGCCAAACCATGGTGAGCCACCATGAGCCTGCCGCACTGGAGGCAATGTCTAAAGGGTGTCCACGATGAAATTGCCACACTATGAAATTGCTCTAACTTTTTAACCGTTGGGTAGAATTTAATGAAAATTTGGGTGGATTTAGTTCATAGTGCATTATTTACATCCTGCAAGTTTTAAAGTCCTGTGATCAAAACTCGCGGAAATGGAGTCGAAAGAACAGCTCGTGCGTGATAAAATCTTGCGCATTCATCACGAGAACAAGGATCTCTCGCATCGTTCCATCGCTAAAACGTTGGGAATCGCGAATTCCACGGTGTCGCGAGTGATTAAGCGGTTCGAGGAACGGTTGACCACCGATCGGAAGCCCAGAAGTGAAGGAAAAAGTATTCCGTACAACACCAAAAATCACAACCGCGTAGTTGGGGCCTTCAACCGAAATCCGAACGCCTCCGTTAGGGATGTGGCTAAGAAGCTGCACCTAAGCCGAAGTTTTGTCCAGAAGGCCAAAACTAAGGCTGGGCTTCGAACGTTCAAGGTACAAAAGGCCCCTAATCGCGACGAGAAGCAGAACAAGTCCGCCAAAACCCGTGCCAGGAAGTTGTACCTCAACATGCTGACGAAAGTTGAATGCTGCATCATGGACGACGAAACATATGTGAAGGCCGACTTCAAACAGATCCCCGGCAACCTGTTTTTCACGGCCAAGGATAAGTTCAGCGTTCCGGAGCATGTCCGCACTCGGAAGATGTCCAAATTTGCGAAGAAATTCCTGGTTTGGCAAGCCATCTGCACGTGCGGGAAGCGGAGTGCACCTTTCGTGACCCAGGACACGATGAACGGACAGGTGTACATAAAAGAGTGCCTCCAGAAGCGTCTGCTTCCTCTCCTGAAGGCCCACAACGTCCCAACAATCTTCTGGCCGGATTTGGCCTCATGCCACTACTCCAAGGACGTGCTGAAGTGGTATGCGGACAATAAGGTCAATTTCGTGCCGAAAATGTTCAACCCTCCCAACACTCCGGAGCTCCGCCCCATCGAGAAGTACTGGGCGATTATGAAGCAGCACCTTCTTAAACGACCTAAGGTAGTGAAGACAGTCGAGGAACTGAAGAAAGTATGAGTTTACATGCAAAAAACGGTTGATTCACAGGTTGTGCAGAATCTTATGGCCGGGGTTAAGGCCAAGGTGCGGGCATTTGCGTATGGACTGTGAATAAAATACGAGTAAAATGGTAAAATAAAGTTTAATAGTTATTTCTCAATCCCTGAAAATTTGATGGCAATCGGATGAAAACTCGAATTTTGCGAATCAATTTTGTGTGTGGCGATTTCATCGTGGACACCCTTTAGAGTCGCTGACACCTCCGTAGTAGTGCATGATGATAGTAGAATATCGGCTGATGAGGTGATAGCAGCTGTAAGAAGCACTAAAAACATGAAGGCCGCGAGTATGGATGGTGTAGCCAACCTAGGAAAAGCCAGAAGAAGATCGAAAAAAAAAAACCATTGGCTTATGGTCAAACTTCCAGAAGAAAACGAAAGAAATTTCTGGGAGAATTAATTGAACTTCCTGGAGAAGACGAAAGAAACTTCCTGGAGTCGCTGGTAGAAACTTCCTATTTAATGTAGATTGGAAGAAACATCTGAAGAAAATCGGAAGTCAGAGCGCTTACGGAACAGTCGAAAGAAACAAGGACATAATTCCGGAAGAAAGAGATTCCTGGGGAATGTTCTAATGATCCAGAAAATTTACTAATATTCATAAAACATCCCTGAAGGCTTCGCAATTTCCTTGAATTTTTCGGAACATTCCTGAAATGCACTTAGGAATATTCCACAATTCCTCGAAATTCCTTAAAAGTTCTTGTAATTTTCTTGAAATTATGGGCTGTTTTGGAGTTCTCTGGTCATTCTCGAAACGCTCGGAACTTACCCGATTATAATGAGAATACCGGAATATCTCTAATCATCTTTGAAGGTCTCTGGATTTTCTTGAAGATTACGAAATCTCTAAAGCGCTCTCAATTTTTTTTTTTAATATATTGTGACATCAGCATTGAAGTTCTCTGATCCTCCCGATTTTTTTTTTAATTTTTAAAAGTTATCGACACTGCCATTAAAAAAGCATAGAACTTCCCATAACATGTTCTCACAATGTTCTAATGTTCATGTAACTTCCCAAACGTTTCCTAAATTTACATGAGCCCTTCAGGACATTGCTGAAGTTTTCGGAAATTGCCTGAGTTTCTTGGAACTCCTTTATAATTTCAGTAATCTCATTAATTAATTGATCTGTCCTGATGTTCTCTGAACTTCACTTAAGTTCATGAAAACCATTAAATTTCCCTGAAGTTCTTTGGACTTGTGAAGTTTCCAAAATATTTATGATGTTTCCTTAAGTTCACTGGAGTTTGCTGGACTTTTCTGAAATTTCCGGGTTTTCGAATTTTAACAGAAGTTAATGAAACTGTCTTGAATTTAGCGAAACTTACACAAAAGTGTGGACTTTTCTGAAGTTTCAGAACTTTTTAATTGTGCCTGCAGCTAGTGTGGATCCGCAATAAAAATCTGATAGCATCCTTGAAGTTCGGGGAAAGTTGAAAAAACTGGCGGGAGAAGATGAAAGACTCATTCGAGCGAAGGCTGAAGAAGCTTCCAAGGTAAGGTAGAAGAAAATTCCAGGGAAAGTTTGATAAAACTTCAGGAAGTTAATGTTTAAAAATTAGTTCTCGATTCCCTAGGAATTACCGGAAAGAGCCATCGAATATTTCTCGATTGATGGGTAGCCAAAAACGGTGAGGAAATGCAACCATTAGTCGGAAGAGTATCAAGCGTAAGACATCTTTAGAGATGATTGTTTAGAATTTTGAAGGCTCAAAAATATGAGGTATTCTAAAAAATACAAGTCTCTCACAAAAAAATTCTCCAAAATTCGAGCACGGACAGGCAATAATAATTTTGATTATTAAAAAAAACGATATAAATCGGTATAAAATCTTAAAAATCGGTATTCTGAGGAACCTTATCTGTACATCGGTATCGGTATCTAATACCGATAAATCGGTATATCTGGCAACGCTGACTCAGAGGTTCCCTTGATCAACACGGTTAGAAAAAAGTAACCAAAAATAAGTTCTTTTCACTCATCTCGGCACTATAGTGCAGGAACCCAACAGTAGGTAAAGCGGGTCAAAGTAATTTTCATTTACTTGTGCGCAGTTCGTATGGAATTTTCCACTAGATTTTTAACCAAAAGTAAGTTAGTTATACCCAACAGTAGGTAAATATGATTATACTCAACGTTGGGTTCTCACACTTAACTACCCCTGTTGGGTGGTTTTGCTCAACATTAGAAGAAGAAAATGAGACAAACTAGTCAAAAGTAGGTAAAAGTGAACTGGCCGTTGGGTACTTTTTTCTTACTGTGAAGAGAATGTTTTACGTCAAAATTCAAGTTCATGCAGGTAGTTGGTCTATCTGTTAAGGTTGTCTTCATTTTCAGCTAAGTTGAGTGTAGAAGGAATGATTTTTATCAGCACTGATCGACAGTAATTTTCTTAAGAAGATTGGACGTCTACATTGAAGCTAAGCTAGCTCTGAATTGAATACCGTAATTCGGGGGAAAATTGATCACATCAAAACGTAAATATAGGAGTTGATTGTTATATTAAAGAAAATTGACAAACTTGTGGTACTAAAATCAATAGACTATGATGATGCTATCATGCGGAACTGATTACTTATTACATTGAGTGTTTTGTGTTGAATTTCGAAGGGTTTTCGACGGTGCTATCGCTGCGTTACCAAATTGTCGTTTAGCGACACAATCACAACAAATAAAACGAACTGCATCATAAATATCCAAAAACGTGGCGTACTACGACATTTATAGATTCCAGATTTCAGCAAAGCCAAATTTGCTGTTGATCTATATTATCTTGATCGGTACGATTCAGTAAGGACCTTAGTTTGGAGAGATTCTGGTAGAGGATCAATCCCTCCTAAGATTTGAAGCCTTGATCCTCAGCTCTGCGGCAATTGACAGAAATCCCCCATCAATTTCCATCCGAATGCAAACTTTGGATTAAGGTTCAATTTACTTTGATGCTTTTTGGAAAATTTCAAAAGCAGTTTTTTCCGATGCATTATTTCAGATTGCAAAAAGCTCGCACTATTTGATTCCTTTTGATAGTTTACATAAAATGACGCGAGCTTTTTGCAATCTAAAATAATGCGTCGAAAAAAACTGCTTTTGAATTTTTAAAAAATGCATCAAAGTAAATTGAGCCTTAACGGAATTCGAAACCAGCCTATCACTTCAACACGAATGCATAACCTCACATTTCCAGCACAAACTCACACCAACCGACTCAAACCGGATGGTAGTGGGTAATTTGTTTAGCAAATAAATCGAACCACCTAAACTCAATTATTTTCCAAATCATAATCAAACACACGGGCAAGCAACAACAACAAACAGACGAGCCCCGGGCAGTAGTTCCAGCGATTGCACCGGTTCGAGTGATGAGCAGTCTGTGGTTTAGAACAGCGCTCGTAAATATTTACACATAGAGAGTGCATCGCAGTCCCAGCCAAGGTCGGAAGTTATTAGCAGTCGAAAAGTGGTTTGCGTGGTCCAGCATCCGCTCTGCGTTTCGCTGCCGGGTCAAAAACATGGCGTCCATGCACCTCGAAAACCAAATTACGCGTGATGAATGTGGGGAAAGTTGCACCAATTTATGACACGTCCTTTTTGCACGCTCGCACACTTTGTAGCGCGGGCAAGTCAAAAATGGACAACGAGTAATAATCCACTCCCCATTCTGATCGGCATAGGTAGGCAATCAGCGATCAAGAGGGTGAGAGGTGGTATCAAATCTATAGAAGTTAAGGTCATAAATTGCTTATTCTTTTTTTTTTTGCTGTTTCTGGATCGGGTAATAGAGAGTGAGCCAGAGTTCGACCCGTCGCCGTCATCGTCGCTTATTTATGATCGGTTTTTCGGAGAGGAAAGGGCACTCCATCGTCGTCGTTGTTGTAACCAGCAAACCGGCAAGAATCGATTTCGGGTGTTCGAACAGCCAGCAAGCGTGGAGGATAATAAATTTTGCTTTTATGGCCCTTTATGACTTAATTTGTAACTCGCCTGCCCTCCACGTTTGAGTAAGTGAGTTCCGCTCCGATCCTGCTGGCGAAGAAGGCTTTCAAAGTCAATTACCGCGCTCGCGCGGGTGTGTGCAGCTAATGGCGGAAAAGTAAAGGGCGAGTCGTCTTACCCACCAGATGTCAGCTTGCGAAACATGAGATCAGCACACGTGTTGCACCTGCAAGAGAACGGAAAAAGAAAACCATCATTAGAAGCAGCACACAAAGAGCGTAAACAAATATATCAAATTAATTGTATATTATATGTGCATTATCCAAAACAACAACAACCCACCGCCGTTAAACTGTTTCGCGCGTCGCGTCAAGTGCGGTGTAATTGAATTACACCACCGAACCGAGGGCACGCGAGCGAGCGAGTGGAGAGACGTGTGGTGGGTGTCATTTTGCAGGCAATAACAATAAATTAGCTGATCGCTACTCGCCGATGATGATGATGATGGTGATGATGGCGATGGGAGCAAAACCGCGGTCGGAGTTGAATTACGCGCTGGGTGCGATTATTTATAAATCAATAACAATAAATATATTTACATCGAGCGGAAAGCAATAACAAGACTGCAAGTTATGCGCGGAAAATTGCGATTCTGGTGCAAGGAAAGCAATCACTACGGGGCGCGATAAGGATGATTCCCGGATCGGGGGGCCCGGGGGTTAAGTAGGTTTTTGCGCTTCAATTTCAAATGCGGCCATTGGGCGTGAAATTTCTGTTCTACACTACTGGTAGGTAGGTAGTCGCGTCTGATAAGGCCGATTATGGTGCGATGACACCACGGTTTTGCTTTCGCTGACTAGAATTGCCAAGTGCTCGCTGCTGATGGGGCACGTTTTGCCGGGCAGCTTCTGAGAAGCAAAAAAGTCAATTCAGATGACGTTCAGTGAATATGTAAATGATAACACCAGTGATAATTCAATCGTTAAAAAATCAGATTGTTTTCAAAGGCCTTGCTTGAAATTTCCAAAACATTTCCAATGAAAATAGAAAAGAGTATTTTATTTCACTGATAGTTTAAGTGATGATACTGCCTCCTATCGGTGAATTACGAAATTACATTTCAAGCTGTCATATTTTTACTGTACTGATTACAGCTATAATCTCAATTTAAGATGGCCAGAAAATCTCACCCTAGCGAATCAATCTACGAAAAATCTTTTATCAGCTCTTGCATCTAAATCCATCTACTCACATCGTTCGCCACCTTTTGGAAGGAAATCTTCAAAATTTTCTTAAAATTTATTTGTATCTACTAAGTGTGCGAGCATCTCACAACAGCAAAGCAACATTTTTCCTGCATCTTAGATAGAGTCGTCCCCCTCGTTTTACAACCCAATAGGACGATGCCTTTATACTGCAACCGAAACTAGCTCAGAGAGTGAATCACTGTTACAAAATTATGAGTAACGTTTACACTAATTTAATGGTGAAATTTCTAAAAGCGTGAGAGTAGCCTACGCTTTTAGAAATTTATCGATACGGATGAGTAAAAGTGTCTCACTCTTTGAGTAAGATTCGTTTTCAGCGTACTCACTGATGATATTTTCCTGGTAGCTGGCAAAACACCAAGTCTGGATCAACAATAGAAAAGAGCCCATCAGCATTTGTAAACAAACCGTTTAAAAGCCCATTCCTCACAAATCGAAGGTCGCCCACACAAACCAACACTATCATCGTGTAGGTAGAAGTTTCCCCTATCCGATGATGGTGTTGGTTTGCCTGGGTGGCCTTCGCTTTGTGAGTAAAGGGCTTTGGAACGGTTTGTTTACAAATGCTGATGGGCCCTTTTCTATTGTTGATGCAGAAGTTTCTGCTATTTATCACTACGTAACATTTGTTTATATACACGGCGAATGAGAATGACCCAAATTTGAGTTTAGTTTACTCATAATCGCCAAAAGTGCAGGAACTCAGCGATGAGTAAAATTCGTCTAATGTTTTCCCAGGTTTTTCCAGGATTTTCCAGGGAAAAATTCCTGAATTTGAGAAAAGTAAAGATTGGATTCACTCAGTCTATTGGTACTACTCCGAGACTGAATAAAATTTTCGTCAATTTCCTCATTTTCCGGCAGATTTTTTAGGTTTTCCACAGGAAACTATAAGACAAATTTACTCATCGCAGAGTTCCTACACTTTTGGCGATTATGAATGAACTAAACTCAAATTTGGGTCGTTCTCATTCGCCGTGTATGTATCTCAATCATGTAATTCACCCTCGCATACTACCTATCTACCGGGCTCATGAAAGAATGGTAGTAAAAATCAAAGAAATTGCCTGGGAATGTGTTGCATTGTTAATCAAAAATCAATGCAAAATTAATGAACAGCGAGAAGAAATATTGATATCTATATAGAAATTCCTAGTCGGAATGTATTGTTCGACCCAAAATTTTGTTTCCACTGCCACTGAAAAAGTGCCATCTGTTGGAATAAAGGGTGGCAGTTCCAAAAATTCCTTGGTTTTGTTTTCCGTCGATCTTGTTTTCCGTGCTGAGCACCAATGCTACCGACGCCAGGAAGGCAGCTCCCACACCTGGACCCTACCTATCGACCCATCAACTCATGAACCGGGGACCAACGGCTTTACTTCCCTTCCGAAGGAAGGCGTGATCAGAGATGTTATGCCTCAGAACATCCCGGCGGCGCCGACTGGGATTGAACCCAGGCCTGCTGGGGTGAGAGGTAATCACGCTTACCACTACACCACCGGCGCCGCTAGTTCCAAAAATTGGTCAATCATGATTCAGTCGAACTGTCGGGCTTTGCGTTTCACACCTTCCATCAGATTTTGCGCGCTGTTGTATCAACCTTATTTGATACTGAACGTCAATTTGGTTTGAACTGTTTATCATTTCCAATTGTTTTTTGAGTTTTCAATATGTTTCAATTGGGTGCAGCTCCGACGAGTTTTAAAGATTTTGTCCTTGGGTACGACTTGCACGTTGTTGGCGGTATACCGTTCCCGCGGTGAGCCATTTTCCCGTAGTGACAAGAAGTGAGGTCTGGCCAAAACGGCACGGAACAACTGGGTTTCTTCAAAAAAGGCAACAGTCGTTTTGCCTTATTTACATTTATTTTCATAAATATCTTGGTTGACAATGCCAGTGTCACGAAAATTTCGCTTTTGAGCCCACAGGTGCAAATCGCCTGCAAAACCAGGTATTTTTTCAGAAGTTTTGACAACTTTTTCTGCTTAAATTTATCTTGAACCTTTCATTTTCCGGTAGCCGAATAAACTCTTTACATGAGAGCTGCGGATTTCAATGCCTTGACCTATATTTCATAGTTCATTATGAAGCAATCAAATTTCTGACGCAATCAATCTACTTGGGAATAATTTGGATTTCGCTTATGCGTGAGCAAAATTTTGATACGCTGTTCCTTTTGCTTCGACGCCATTTTGAAAACTGAATGGAAAATGGCAAAAACAAAATAGAGGCAACATTCCGTACGCACAGACATACAAACTGAGAGATGTTCAAGTTTTTTAAATGCACGATTAAAAAAAATCTGCAAATTTGAGTCGACCAATTTTTGACGGTTCCACCCTTTATAAAACTTTGGAGCATGTGCTATTTTGAAACTACTACTTGTTGTGTTTCTTCTGCTTCATCTCTTGGCTTCCACCACCAATGAGGTTTCAGGTTGCTCTGTTCTTTGAGCACTTCCACAGTTGTCGATTGAGAGTTTTTTAAGCCTGTACTATTTTAGCGTTTGCCAAGTACAATCAAACGATTAAGATCTTTTTGAACTGGTTTGAACACAAACATTGAATGTTTCTATAAAAGATGACTTCTATACATTCCATTCAAACCTTAGATTTAAAAAAGAGTCACAAATTGTTGAGATATTGATAAAAAGCTAACATTGCTTCTTAAATAATTCCCATTCCATCATACGAGTTTCAATTCCGTCCTAAAGCATTGAAACGTCTTTGGATTCGCTACGGCATACGGATGAAAGCAGACAAAAAGAATTCTCTTCTTTTGTTTTTAAGAAGAATGGATCTAAATATTCGTATAGTAAAAAAAATAATGCTCTTGCAAATTTGGCGACCCACTAACATTCGGTTCCGGATTGCTATTTTGCTTGAGTGTGAACTCGAGTGTGAGCTGCTCCGACCACTTTCTCTCCCAAGTAACATTGCAGGTTTTATCGCGGTTTTATAGCATTCTACAAGTCTAAATCATGGTCTACAGAACCCTCATAAAACCAAAATTGTTACTTGGGCTGTTTACGTTTTGCGGTTCCGTTCAAATCTGTTTTGTTAGGATGAACAGCTGCTAGGAAACTTGTGGGAGGTTCCAAGAGCATTTGAGCGAACTTGTCTGAAGTAACAACGGCAAAGAACTTGTGGGAAGATCCAACCTGTCGGAAGTTCTAAGGAAACATGTTTGAAGTTCCAAGAAAACTTTTGGGAAGTTCAATCGGTTGTGGCGTGAACGTGAACTTAACTGCAATTCCATGAAATTCTTCTTCGTTCCGTGAACTTCTCTCAACTTCCGTTATTTCGGAAGTACCAAAGGAACTTATGGGGAATTCCAAGGTGAACTTCGCGCAATTTCCGTGAACTTTGCCAAGATTCGTGAACTTAACCGAATTTCCGTGAACTTCTCCCGAGCTCTAGAAACTTATTTCAAGATCCGTGAACATTCTCCATGTTTCATGAACTTTATCGCAATTCTTTGAACTTCAACCAAGTTTTGGTAACATCTTCCAAGTTCTGAAAACTTTTCCTAACTTACACCGTAAACTTCTGCCAAGTTTCGTAAACTTCTGCAGTTTCGCAAACTTCTCCCAAGTTTCGTAAACTTATCTCACGTTTTTTCACTTCTCCCAATTTCTATAATCTTTTCCGAACAATCAAATACCGTGAATTTCTCATAAATTACGTAAATTCCTCCCAAGTTCCATAAACTTCTACCAAGTTACGTGAACTTCTTCGCAGTTCCACGTACTTAACCGCAGTTCTTTAAATGAGTTCTGCAAACGCAACGCAACCTTATGAATCTGTTTACTTTAGAAAATACAATTGACGCCGTCTTCAACCAGAAGCTGCACAGACTGAACACTTAACACTAGACAACGGACAACATACAATACCCAGTAGATCAGTAAGGAAATTTCATTTTAAGAAAAGTTTCACCGATTGGGATGGGAACCAAA